TGAAGTCTTCAAGAATAGGGATTAAATTCACCTCCACCACCACGAGCACAGTTCTGCTAAAGTCAGTAGAAAGTTACATCCCGTGTGCTACAGAACAAATTCAAATGCATACATTGAAAAGCGAGTGCACATCACCACCAGAGACAAATGGCAGAGTCCAGTGCTCAGAGGCAGAGAAGTGGACGGACACATGAGCGACGTGTTTTGGAGCTTATGCTGGCAGACAGCTCTCACAAAGTACGGTAGGTACGCTGTGGGAAAATTAAACTCCTCGTGGTTCCCCTCAGCCCCTCCCTGTGTTATCTATGCCCGTTCTTATTTTAACTTGGTTCTTGGGAGCAGTGAATCCGTACCACTTCTGCAAAATACTATCAACAGCCACAGCTGCACACACAAAATTAAAGACAAGAACAATTTCACAGTTAAGGCTCCTGCGCCATCATTAGGTCCCTTTCCTTTATTAATGCATTCATTACTGAAGTATACACCACACTTACTTTCTCCAGCATTGTGAGATTTCTGCATTATTTTGGAAGGAAAAGGTCAGCTAAGGGCAGAACGGCAGCCTATGGCCCACAATACCTTAGTTAAATATTAAATCCTTAAAATAATGTTAACTGTTTCCCATGCCCGCTTAACTTGAAGCAAGACCAACAGCAACTCAAACACTGACGAACCCTGCAAGCGGGTTAACCGGAGGACTGACAGACTGCACAATACAACTTGCGAAGTGTCCCCCGGGCATAGACTGGGGTGGGGAAGAAATGTTCCCTGTTCAATGAGACTGGCACACAAAACTCCTGAGGTGCGGGTTACTAGCTCGCCTGCATTGAAACTTCTGCTACAGACTGTGGCAAACAGTAAACAAGCAGCTGATTTGAAAGTCTGCTGGGATTATGGCATTTGTCAAAGCACATGACATGTGCAGCAGCTGAAACGGTTTTTGTTACACAGACGCCACTGGCATTTCTCAGAAGCAATTTTATCTTCTTCTGAAGAGGTGTCTGGGATGACCAACTGCACCACATAAACAAACCCTCCACTAATGTATTAGCGTGTTCCTAGAAATAAGTGAATGACATGCAAGAGCCATCAATTGTTTGCAAGTATCCACTTCCCAAGGGCCTCCACAGTGAAATACCTCCAAATACATGTTGCAAGACAAGTTATAGTGTTACGAGTCAACAGGGCATTCTTGCTGCAAAGAAGAAAAAGGCCAATAGTATATTGTAATAGATCTTTGAATCCTTTGACAAAAATCAAAGGATTCACAGCGAAAGCAGGACAGTGGAATGAACGAGTGAAAATGGGAATAAGGACAACGTTCCCCTGCCTAACGGACTTAAATGATGGAGCATCAGGAGTCGCTGACATTTCAGAGGTAATTTATAGCCATCTACCTGGGCTTGATGCTCAGTTTAACAGGCATTTTGGTGAAATGGAAAAGTTGCTGTAAATTGACCGGGACTGGATCAAGGATTCATTTTCAAGTGCTACCAACAAAGAAATGCTGCACGGTCTGAACGCTCACAAAGACAACAAACTGGTCGAACTGAGCAAAGACAGCTTTTTACGTCAGAAGCATCAGAGTTGTGGACGAAACATCTCAAGTTTTTTGTTGGAAATTGAAACCGAATATCCAGGGCTTACTAAGAAAGCAATGAAAGTCCTGCTGCCATTCGCAACTACATATTTATGTGAGTCTGGGTTTTCTGCACTGACCGCTATTAAACCAAAAAACAGAGCAAAACTGGATGTGAGGACGAGATTAGAGTTTGTCTTTCTGATATTGCTCCAAGGATCAAGGAGCTCTGCAAGACCCACCAGGCCCAAGTGTCCCAATGAAATAGCAAAACTGAAGTTACTTTTGGCTTATTTTTGGATATTTTTCGTTGCCTTTTTATATTTAAAAAATTTTAATTTTAAGACACTTATTATTTTGATGTTAAAGGTTTTAAGTTATAAACAGTAAAGGACAATCATCATAACTTTGTTATACAGCAACAAGTTTATGCAAACACTTCATTAAGAGTTGTAATATTGTTTCCTATTATGTACTAATCCAGCAGCATACCAGGCCCAAACCTGTGGCATAGCTACGTTATAGATCTTTAATGCATAAATAAATAAAGCATTTAATGTTAATCAGCGTAGCCTGCCTTATATCACACAATTTAGGGGTTGTCGTCATCCCCCTGCATCCGGCCATGCGCCAACCCCCCCTTCAGAAATCAGGATGGATTTTCTTAGTTCTGGAAGGGGTTCAGCATTGGAACAACTATCTAGAGAGACCAGGGAATCTCTATCCTTGGAAAGTTTTAAAATCAGATTAGACAAACACTTGGCTGACTTGGCATAGATAGAAACGATCCTGTCTGGCCAACGGGTTGGACTAGATTGGGGTGGTCAACCTTTGGCATATGTGCCACTAGTGACACAGGGGCCAAGAAGCAGATGGGAGAGGGGACAGGCAGCAGAGCAGCGAAGAGGGCAGGGAGCAGACAGCAAAGCAGTCGGGGGAAAGGGGATCAGAGTGGCACAGAGAGGGTTCATGGCTAATTTTTGGCACACCTGCAAAAAAAGAAGACTGCCCCCCACTAAACTAGATGACCTCCTGAGGGCCCTTCCAGCCCTATTTCTCTATGATCCCTTAGAGATGTCTGATGTCCTTCCTGGCTGCTTGGGCTATATTAGACGAGCGTCAAGCAAGGAACAGAAATCATAGTGCTCCACGTCCAGACTAGTCTCGACTGTCTAAGCAGAAGTTTGCTAGATTTGCAATCGGTATTCTGTTTCTATCATCAAAACCTGGCACTCTGAAGGACACAAAAGAACAACAGGACTTGGGCTATTAAGTAACTTAATTCTCTCCCCCATATAAACCTCCTTGGAATTGAAGAGCAGAGTATTTCAGGTTTGCTGGCTATTATTTTCTCCAAGAACGGCAGCCGCCAGTGGACTTAGGCAAGGATTCTGAGCTAAACTCCTACTCTTCTGCAAACAGAGCGGATGTTAGCAGGGAGCAGCCAGAACATTGATAAGGGAACTGAAAAAAACTTAAACACAAATCCCCCCCACTCAGACCTGCAAAAACACAACACTATTAGCATAGGCTTGCTCACAACTCGAACCGGTATCGAACATTTAATATTATTAGAATATCAAAAATGTTTTAACTACTTTGCCTGATAAAAATGTATCAAAACAGAGGGTGGTAGAAGGGGAACAATGAGAAATAAGTGATCAAGTGGCAATGCTGATATGTCTTGCTAGTTCCTCTTATAATATTAATCTATTAACACCCAGATTGAACTTTTTGACAAAATGGGTCAAAGGACAAATTTTGGACTTTAGAAATAACAGAGATTGAATTCGGGGCACACATTTAGTGCTAAACTTTGTTCCTTGGCCTACCAGTTCATAAAGACTCATATAAAGTTGCCTAAGGCTAAGGTTTTAATCTTTAAAAATGCTATGGGAATGAGTGCGATTAACTCATCATTAAATGAGAGAGAGGTTAAAAACAACAATTCATAATTGTATTTTGGAAAAAATGCCTGTGAAATTCTTACATCATGGATCACTCACCCAGCTCAACAAAACAGGTAAACAATTTTTAAAATTTGATTAAATATAGCACAATTCAAATAATCTCACGGGTTCTTCTAAACAGGAAATTACTTGGAAAAAAACATGATTCACAGGAAAAATAACCATGCAAATGTAGCAAAACATTGCATTGGATATAAATACCCAAACACTGTGCAAGTAAAGGACAGAGCAAAAAGTTAATCACTGTTGCAGTCTATTCAACTACGTACACTTACATCTTCATTCCAGTCTTCTGCTGTCCATTCTTCTATTGAGTTCTTCCATGCTCCTGTTGTAGTTTGAGAAAGGAGAGAAAATTTAGTTACAAATCCCAAAACCATAGTTCAGCTCTTAAGAATTAAAAAGGTATACTGCCTTCCATTTCTAATGGAGATATTATATGCAGACAAGGTTCCTTGGGTGAATTTGATATCTTTTATTAGACCAACCCAAATGGTTGGAGAATAGTTATTAAGCAAGCTTTCGGGTTCAAAAACCCTTCGTCAGGCAAAGGAAGCTGCAGCAGTTGGTGTGTGCTCTTCCTGGATGGAGATATTATATAGTATTCATATATAGTATTCAGCAAAAAGCTATGGTCAGGACATGGGCTGTTGTACAAAAATGGTTTCTAGATCAATGGTCTTCTGGAAGATGTATATTCCATGTTTCATACCACCATAAGCAAGTGATTCACACTGGCTGCATAAAGAAGCAAGATCAGAAAATCCATTCAGACTTCTGATTTCTGCTTCTGGGCCCTCTCAAATCTTGCCCCGCTACCTGCTCGGGATGCTCCTTTTCCAGCCTGCCTCCTCAGCCTAGAATAATGCCAATTCCCTTTCAAGGATATGGAAGAGAGCTTTTTACTGAAAAAAAATACACACCCTATAATTCCTATAGCAAAAGTGACAGCAGAGTAGATGGCCTGCCATTCCAGCAGCAGCACAGGGCTGAATTAGCAGTCACAGGTTTTCAGGAGTCTCAGGCCCAGACATGCTGCCCAATGCAACTAGGCATAGCCCTCCACGCCACTAAGTATGGGAGAGAACAACAGCAGAAAAACCTGGAATAAAACTTCACCACTGAAAGTAACACCAATTTAAGCATCACGTCTGCAACTTATGAAGGGTAGCCGTTTGCTTAAGGCAAACAAGCTATTGCCTGCTCCACGCCAGCTACCAGCGAGATAAGGCCTGTTGCATGAAGGTAACCCAAGAGAGCTAGTTGCTAGTTGTGTGGTCCACCCCGCATCCTGGCATAAAAGCCGATGGAAATTACATAGATGTCATGTATCAAGGCCCTCTGCGCTGTGCTGAGCCTGCAGAGATGGTACAGTAATACGGAAAGCGTTTTAAACGCGTCTCTTCCAAAGTAACATTGAGGGTGCACAGTGGAGGAGAATGCAAAAATCAGAAGAGGTCTGAAGGCATTACACACGTGTATGGTTCTCTCGGTAACAGGGACATCACTTCCCGATGCAAGCAAAGAACCAGTCACAGCAAACCACAACCAAAGTACAATTCCAGGATACGTTCTCTTTGATCAGGTATGGCATAAAACAACGCTCCATATGAATCGTGTGCTGCATGCACCAATTAATACATTTGGAAATAAAACCCCTTGAAGACTGTCAAACACAGTTTGTGCCAAATGGATCAATATCGGTTGCTTTCACTTCATTCTTCTCTGCATTTTACAAAGCAGCTGTGCCACGTACCTGAGTTCGTACACCACACCTGGCAGCGTACCCGTCTTCCCCCTGCATAGAGCCACATTATCCAGCCTGCCAGGGCTTCCCAGGACTCAAGTGGTTAACACTGCCACTGCTCCCCGACCATCACATTTCTGGAGCGGTGATGAACCCTGCGGGCCAGGGCTTGAGCACCACTGCCATAGAGAGCAGAACTCAACATCGCTGATCTGAAAACCTGAGCAACCCCGCGCATGCCCCCGAGACCCAAATTATTTTGCAGGTCCTGAACAAGACAGCGTCTACTATGTGTTAGCCCTGTGGAACCGTACAAAATGGCCTGAAGTGACTCCCCATCACAGTATAGGAAGTCCTTGACTTACGTTTCGCGCTTACAGCCTTTATAAACTGACCCCGTTTCAACTTTATGACATCAGTTTCGACTTTACAACGCTTGATTCGACGCGAGACCGCACCAGCGAACAAGTTCACTGCGTCGCCCATCTCCCTGGAGGACATCTGTCCAAACTTCCTTGGACACTTTCTTTAAGAAAGCAGACAAGACGCCAGAAAAACCTGCAGCCAAGCCTGCTGATGAGAAGGCTCCAGCCAAGAACCCTTCAAAAAGTCCAACAAAGTCACCTCAAACAAGTTCTTTCAAATCAATAGGATTGCTATCTACAATATAAATACATTAATGTAGCTATGTGTGTCATCTATAATTGATTGAGTACAAAATTCTGGGTTACATTTGGTGAAAATAAGGTATTGGGCCTTGGTTCAGGAACCAATCCCCCATTTCTAACATTGTTTCCCATGGGAAACTCAGTTCTGAGTTACGTTTCGACTTAAGACACGGTTTTCAGGAACCAGTTGTGTTGTAAGTCTGAGGACTGCCTGTACACTAAATAACCTTTAGCTGGGACTGTGGGTGTGCTTATATATGAATCTGTCAGGCCTCAAAGTGTTGGACAAACTCACAGGCTAACCCACGTGTCCCCAGATGTTTTAGAAAAAAGAAAGTGCCTAAGGAGTACAGTTTAGTCATGGAAATTAGCAGTCTTTGGTTTCTCTCTCCTGACCAGTGCAAGATTGTTCCCTACGGCAGATGTTTCTTGCCTCCATTACCTCTCTTGCCTTAAAAGCACATCCTCCTGTCTGTGTCTGTCTTGCTTCGATCGTAAAAGCTCTTCATAGCAAGGCCCCTGCATTTTGTGTCTGGTGTCAGCACTTTAACAGCAGCGCTCCATGTGTTTTGTCTAGTCTTGTTTTGCAGAAGCTGAGCACTGTGGCTTCCACCGCTCCCCTTGGGAGATTACTCCAAACAGATCTCTCAGTTCAGACATTTCCCTGACATTCAAGGCAATGAACGCATCTCCCCCATGCCCTCCACAATTCTTGGTAGCTTAGCCAAGATGCACATATTTCATTCTCACTTTTGCTTCCAACGAGAATCCCGTCAGCCTCAATTACACTGTGGCTCTGCTCTAAATTAACTCCCGTTTGTTAACAACTGTCCAGGCACTGAAGGGCCTTGGAACTGTGCAGGAGTCTGACTTAGCCACCACAACAGTAGTTTTTGTCACGTGCCAGTGCCGGTGAAGTCTAAAAATCACTCTGGTGTTACTGTCACCATTGTACCCTGCGATCTCTTATACTTCCCTCCACGCTATGGCATACAAAGACACAAGATACTGCTGTTGATCAGCATCTTTCTACTGAAAGTTGATGGCGCACATTTCTAAGTACATTAATCGTGCAAACTATCCGAGATTTCCATCTGTGGTCCATTCTATTTCTTCTGTAAAATCTGATTTCTCTTCTTGGTAGCAACTCCAAGAGCCAGTAAAAAAAGTGTTATGTTACATATTCCTGGTGCAATTTCAGCTTTTTTCCCCTTGTCTTCTGTCACCAAACCTTTGGGATTTTTCTCTCTTTTTTTAAAATATTCCCAGCATCTGTTAGCTTGAATTAGAGCCCAAAAAAACCTCATGTTATCCCTGTCTCTATTTCTGACCTCCCGCGCATTCTTTTATATTAATAGTCACCCCTGTTGCTTGCAGCCATTCCCAATTTTGTATAAACTGCAAATTTCTTTTAACTGCTCCTTCCATTTTCACAATGGACCAAAACAAACCCCTGCAGCTTCTCTGCCACATCATTAACTCCATTCTCAAAGACTGATGCATAGTGATTTATTGCTCTCTTTGTTTGTGGCTCTTCAGTTTCAAAGTCATTTGAGGATGCTCGCATCCAAGACAATTTGTATTAAAATTTAGCAGCAAATTCATAAGGAACCATACAACATGCTTCACTAAAGTACAGCCAAAAATCTCGTCGTCCACTGACTTGCGAGCCCATTTAGAAAGCGATTGCACCTTCCTTTATATACATCCATGCTGCTTAGTGCTCGCGGTTCTATTATCCTCGATGCTTACAGGTTTCTTGCAGCAAATACCAGTAGTAAGAGTGTGTTGCAGGGCCGATAAAAATCAATTTTTCCAAAGAATGTGGATTTTTTGCATCTAAGCAGGATTTTCAATTTTATTTACAATCGGAATAAAAGAACTGCTCTAAAATGAAATCTGAACTGAATTCCCAATACGTTCCCTAAACATTTCAATAAAAATATGCTAAATGTGTGAGCCACCAACAACTAAGTAATGCTGCATGATTTTCTACAGAAGGGAAGAATTAGGGACATAACATATCTCCTAAGGTCAAGCGTTAAACGCATGGTGCAACTGGCCATGTACTGTTGAAAGGGGTTGATCCTGTGGGGGCAGCAAAAAAGATTTACCAAATCTAGTGCTCTAATTCATTTTAAGTCTACATGTTTTTATAACAATAAATGAGAATGAACCTCTCTACAAACCAGTGGAAAAGTTAAGATGATTAAGAGGAAGACTTTCCACTTTGTCATTTATTTTAATAAAAAAGGGGGGAGGGGAGGAGAAGATCAATCCCCTATCGTGCCTTGGATACACTGCAAGAGGAATCTCATACAGTGCTGAGGACTGATCACTACTTCAAATCTGAATATTCGGTTTGTATTCGTTTTTAAACTGTTTATGTAACATACCTTTCTACAGTATAAAAAAAAAAAAAGGACAGCAAAGAAAAGCAGTATGAATACCTCCCTTTGATTACTGGCATGCATTTTAGCTATATTAATGTTCTAAAACTATGCAGGTGACTCCTCCTGTTCTCGCTCTTGCTTATGTTTTATCCTCTTGGGACCTGCTGGCTTCTCTTGAGGCATCTGGAGATATCTTCTGCACAGCCTTTTCTAATTTCTCCAGCTTATAACTAGGGCACCTTTAAGTGCACACAGAAGAGTACATGGATATCACAAACCAAGACATTTTTAAGAGGCTGGAAATTTGTGAGCTAAACACCCAAAGCACCTGGAAGTGGGGAACAATTTAGCACAGGTGTTGGACAAAAAAAAACACTAAGTGGAGATTTGAAGGGCAACTTTTAGTAAAATGAAAGTGCCTTTTTCAGACACTGTTGGGAGCTGATTACACTAAAGCACCAAAAAGTATTCAGTGCACAAGAAGCACCCACCCAGGGATCTGGTGCAGAATAGCTAATATGCACTACATTCATCAACTCACTCACTTTGCTACAGCTTCCCCAAATAAACCACCTTTACTCTTCAAGTCACTGTCCTATTCAGAACGACTATTTCCAAGGGCTCCAAAGTTCCCTCCCTCCACCTGCCCAATGCTAGTCAGTTATCTATATTCTCAAAATTTGCTTCCCTTGGATCTAGTACCATTGAGATCAACGTGTTCTGGCCCATTCGGAAACCCATGCACATATTAAGACCAAGCTCTCAAGTACCAACAGTTTTCTAGTCGTTCCCTCCATCCTTGGTAGGTAGATAAGGGTGTCTGCCTAGATCACCAAGTTGTCATCCTTCCAACTCAGAATATTAGGCTGTCTGTATTTAGCTATTCTTGTTATCCAGATGTGTGAAAGGTTTTCTCCACTGGCACATAAGCATATGCCTACAAACACCAGGAAGTAATCAAGTGTTCTTCTAGCTGCCTACTTCACTCTCCTTTCCCCATTTCCTATATCTTTTCCCTTCTTCCTTCAGGTAGGCTCTTGCTGATTGCCTGCTTGGAGGTAGGTTGTCACCAATTCTGGGCAGAAGCATTTTCAAAACATTTAACATGGCTTCTTTCTACTGCTTGAAAAACATTTTTTTGAAAACACGAAGGCGAAGTACATTAACAACTCATTCGTACAAACTGATCCCAAATACCTTGTTTGGGAAATGCATAGCGGGCTCTGAGCCAAGTAAAAATCTCTTCTTTACATGTAGAGGAAAGCCTGCCTAACAAGCCCCACTGGCTTTGAACACAGGCTGTTATTATTTCGTTAGCCACAGCCGCAGTGGAGAATGCTGAATTCAGAAAGCTACTCGTTTCTATGCTAAGTGAAGCTGAAAGCTTCCACCTTGCATCACTTGGTTTCTGGTATCAGATGTTTCCTTAAATGTAACAGAAGAGAAAGTGCCAAGGTCTGTCTTCTAGGTGACCCCAATATTTCAGAGGGACCCCGCAAGGAGTCATCCTTTATTCTTTCCTACCATTTGCTGGACAGTAGTAACACAAGTGGAATTTCTTCAATATGACATGGGACATCTTTTGCCCTCATCTCAGCTCCGGTGTGAAACTCCAGAGGCAGCGTGCTAGCCAGTTCATTTTCAGTTCACTTATGTCACTGGACAAGACAATTCACTTTTTCTCAATTGGTTCCTCTTTCTGACCACCGTGTCTAGTCAGCAATGCGTATTCTGCTAATGCAACATCTTTAAAAGTCTGGAATCAACTTAATCTGTGTCTAAAGTACAGACTGTGCCTTTGCCAACCTTTTATGGCCTACTGATATTTTCAGCCATGCCTCTTCCCTTGGAAGAGGGGAGAACATTGTCTTTATCTTCCTGTATAGTAAGGATAAAAAGTTCAAAAGAACTTAAGGGCACAAATCTTGAGGAATTTGAATGGGATTTATGTATTTTTCCTGTTTTGGAAAATGTCACCTGTGGAAGACTACCAACATATTTCCCAGCTGAATATTGCTTCAAATAGATGCAATTTTCAACAACTTTTGATTCATGGGGACTTGTAAAACAGAGCTCCTCTTTGTTTAACCTGAGGGTTGTGAGCAAAGAGCCATCTGAGGCTGAATCACCTCAGTAGTAAGTCAGACAAATGAACAACCTACTTGCTATGCCATGTGAGAAGCACTAAATATTTTCAGTGGCTAATGAATAACATTAGCAGAGCCATCCATTTAACAGCCATTTGCTGCAGGTTTTTGTTCCAACTCTTCCACTTTGCAAAGCATCTTACCAGTTCCATCATCTGCATCATTCTGACCAGTCTCCCAAATCTCTGGTTTTGTTCCAAAACCATCAGTAGCAGAAGACTCTGTGTAATCTGCAGGGTTAAATGTCCTAGGATTTAAAAATGTGGAAGTGAGAGAAATACACAAAGCGACTACAAAAAGCAGGCAGTGAGCAAACACCCTGATTCACTGTCAAAGCCTGTATTAGATTTCTACACAACTCATACTTCCACATACGGCGATTTGGATCACGGGCGTTTTTCTAAAAAAGTCATTTTCTTTTTTATTCCCAGTAATTGGAGGAAACAAATCAGGACTGTATCAAAAACACACTGTAAAACGATCCGAGCAAAAACTAGCTCCTAGGAAGTAATAACAGCATGCAGACCATTCCCCTTCTCATTAAGCACTAGTTTATGCTCACAGCTTCAATCTTCTGTCAATTGTTCATTTCTCAGCAGGGTATTTACTGATAAGAAACCCATGCTGTATGCTTTTAGGGTGCCAGATTGGTGCAGGACAACACTCAGTGCACCAAAAAGGTGGCACCAAAAATGCACTGAAACACCTATGGAAGCCTGAAGGGCTTTGTTGTCTCAGATGCAATCTCAAGGTGATCTGGAAAAGCATTTCTGAAGAAAGACAGGTTTAATTTTCAGCCTCTCTCGCACTGAAGTTGAATGAGAAGGAGGAGGCATGGAGGACTGTAAGGTGGGCAGAGTAAGCCAAAAGAGAAGAGAGGAAGAAAGCTGACTTTTGGTTATAATGATGCCACTGATATTTCATAAAAATGAAAGATGGCATCAGGCAATGTCCACAACAGACAAGTGTTTCATGGGCTGTTGTACAGATCGGTTCACTCTAGCCACATCTGTTTACAAACACACAGCTGTCAAGCAGTATTAACGGACAGGAAGCAATTAACACTGCTGTCTGTCTGTCGGTGCCCAAAAGTCATGCTCCCCATACACAACACTTACCCCATGCCTTGGGCTGAAAACCTTCCTGCTCCTCTCCCTCTGCCACGTCCAAACCCTACAGGGAGAAAACATCGTTTACACAGCATCAGCACTGACGGACTGATCAGTGACCTGTATCAGAGGGAAATACTGGGTTTGAGGAAGAAAGCTATGGTGAGGACATCGCATTGATTTTCTTGAGAGTAAAAACCCTGTTCGAATAGACACAAATAAGCCAGTTCATCTTAATACTCAGTGTGCTATTAAAACGGCAAAGCTTCCAACCCCTTTTCAAATCTTCAGGAGATCAGATGTTATATGCAAAACAGCATGTGGCAGTGCTATTACTGAACATGTATCAGTTAACTCAGACCTGCATAACCCACAAAATCAAACGGGGCAGGGAATAAAAGAATACCAAAAAATCTCCTCGGTCCACAACTGTGTGTCTGGCGTGGAGATTTATAGCTATACAATTAAGTATGGCACACAATCCTCATTCTTAACATCTTTCTTTCTTTTTGATGGACTCTAATCCTACACAAACCCCAGCCTACACTTCTCATCTCTGTCCTGATCTTAGGGAACGCCCTCTCATTCTTTTACTGCAAGAGTTGGCAAGCCTTTGCCACTGGGGCTGGGCTGAAGCTTGCAACCCAGCCTCCTGCTGTCACAAATCTATGATCCCCATGGCCCTTCTTCCATCCCCCCGCAAACCTGACTCAATTTACCCTTGCCACAGATCCCTGGCCCCTCTGCAGCAAGGGTAAGCACAGGCATGAGAATGCAGCACAGAGGGTTGCCGAGGCTTAGCGTAGCTATAGCTGCCTTCAGGCCAGGCTGAGCCTTCACAGGCTGGATGTTATGACTTACCAGGCCAGATCAATACGTTGCTATCCCTGCTCTACTGTACCAACTACAGCAACCCTGACACCCCATTTCCTTCTCCCACTCCTGCTTCTTGGTGTTCCCCCTACCCTAAATCGTCCCTTACACCTGCACTATTTTCCCAGTTCCAAGTCACAATTCTCACCTTATTCCAACCCTTTTCATGATGGATACAAAAAAATGAATTTACAACACATTAATTCACCCCCTACTTTGGGTTTCCCATTACACCCTGCTTTCTTGATACTGGCCTCACATGAAGCTGTTGAGTACAGGCACCATTTCTACTATCACGCCTTGCACAGCACCGTCCACATACTGGAATGATGGTTCATATTACTCAAACCTAAAAGCAGCCTGCTTCCTAGGTATAGTATGTTTCTATAGGCAGTTTTCATTCTTTTTTGCTCTCTGTAACTGAGGGTTTACACATTTTGAGAAGAGCCTACAGCTTCCGCTTTGCCTAACATAACATTTGGAGCTTAGGTTCCCAGCTACATAGCAAGGGATTATCTGTTTTATACAAGATGTAATTACATGTTACCAAAAAAGAGATCTTTTAAGTTGTGCCAAACTGCAAGACAAGCATGGATTTGCAGCACTGATCTGCATTATAAGTATTTAGGGCTCCCAAGGACAAGTTCCTAGAAGACCTGGAACTGCTTATTTGCGTAAGTACAGAAGTTAAAGCTTTCTTAACCACACTACCTGCCCTCGCCTCACCGCATCAGGCATCAGGAACTTGGACCAGGACTACTTATTGCTGGTATAGGAGCTCCTCAGCCTTGCTCTGGTTATTCTACTGATGGCAACGAGCTTGTACAGACAAACTAGACATCCTAAAAGCATCTTCAAGGAAGTCCAGAGAACGTCAAAAATCACAGTGCAGAAACAGCTGGATCATATGCATCCAAATGGCTCACAACCCACTTCATTCACGGCGGTTTGCCAAGTGAAGAACGAGCAGCATAGCTGTTTGCTGAAGCGTGTATGAGTCCCCGGCTGGTTTGCATACCCTCATCTTTGCAAAGGCTACAGAACCTCACCCCTCCAAATCATCCAAGCTCCACTGTATAAATGTTCAGCTACGGGAACTAGTTTGAAGTTATTAGGGAACTGCCCCGTCAACTGGAAGTGTCCCACTGCATTTGGCAAGGGCTAAAATGCCTGCTGCATGCAGGCTTCAAAGCTTTCTCAGCAATATTCTGTACGCTGAGAGAAATAAAGTATTTGCGTGTTTATTCACAGGACTACTCGGGGAGTTTGGAGAAGACGGATAATTGTGGGTTGAAGCAGAGACAGATTTTAATAACTAGGACAAACAGAGGGGTTAAAGTAACTCCCAATATGGCCAGAGGAAGGCAAAGCAATCTACACGTCATCTTCATCACCACCAGCAGCCCTGCCCCTCAGTGCTGATTGGAGGAGAGTCCTGGGAGGAAGAGGGACAAGTGGGTAACTGCCATCTTGGTTGCTGGTGTGGCCCCACCCATTGGGGCTGATTGGTGGAGAGGCCCCAGTGGGGGGAGGAGCAACCAGGGGGCAAACACCATCTCCTCTGCTGCCCACCATGCCACCCCGCCAGCCTTCCCCTCCTGGCAGTGAGGAACTCTGGCTCCCACGGGGGAGCCAGCATTTTATTTTTATTAAGGTGGTTTTTTCCGTTGTTGACTTAATGGACAATCCTGGATTTCAGTTTCTGCAAAATCCACGAAACTGAAAATTAAGTAGGTCCCTAGGGACACGTCACTCTAGATCTACCTGGTTCAGTGCTCTCCCTCCAAAGCATGCACCCCTGCCACTGTCAGACAGGACACTGGGCTAGATGGACCACTGGTCTGATCCTGCTCAGCGCTTACGTTTTTAGGAAGAGGTGCTCCAGCTTGTACAGAAAATTGCAACAGCAGCTACAGATTCTCACATTCCATACCAGGAAGATATTTAAATATACCGTTCCTTAGCAATGACAAAGATCACTGTATTGATGAGATCTAAATGATGTGACACAGCATCCTTGGGGGGGATGGGGGGGGAGAAGGGAAGTCAGACCCTTAATGTTATTTTTTATCAAGTCCTCTTGCACATATTTTACTCCACGCAAAGTACATCACAATGGTCAATGTTTTCAAACACATCACCAGTTTTTGTTGGCTACACAAGAGAGAATTCTGTTGCCATTAATTTCCATCTGCCAAAAAACAGAGAAGGAATGACTCTGCAGCAGCACATTTTCAATCTCTCAGTAAGACTGCCTGAATGGCTCTTGCTACAATTAATCAGCATATTGAGCGCATACCCAACAATGGAAGCACTGACAAAGAATAAAATTACAGCTCTGATTGCCACTTGCAACCCTGCATGACACTTCTTCAGCTTCCCTTACACTTGGATCTGTGAACAACGGGTTGAAGTGGCAGCCAAATCATCCCTACCCATCTCTCTCTCAGGAAGTCAGCAGCGGAAAGTTGTTTTTTGGTTGGGTTTTTTTGGGTTTTTTTTTTTAAAGTAGATTCTGCTTAAAATCCTTGCCAATTTCTTCCTTATGTCGTTAATCTTTTTGCTCACTTTGACATTTTACTTTATTTTGTTCCCGCTTCTCTCTCTAGCACTAACTGAGCCAGGTGGCCTTCTGTTCCCCGACACGTCTCATGCTCTTAACTAGCTGCACGCCAGCTGTAGCTGGGTTGGCTAGCAATAGAAGGGGGTTTTTTCCCATAGCATCCAAGCTGGAAGTAGCAACACCTAAAGCCGGTAAGGTGCTGAACCATCTCCACCTGCAATGAAGTCCACCAAGAATTTATGACATGCTGATTGTAATACCAAGCCCTGGTGTGGTTTGGTGGTTGGACCCAATGTCCAGTTCAGATATCATCCCCCAACAGAAAACCTCCCTGAACTGGAGCATGATGCAGCCGTTAACATCCACAGTCTGAGACGGACTAATTCCAGGCATTGCTGGCAGCCCATTTCTAGGTAAACCAAATTAGTCTAATTTCAGGCATGGGAACAATAGATCTAATGAAGTAAATTTGATCCCTTCAATCTGACACGTGGCTTTCTTCCTAGCCTGAGCCTGACAGACAGGTTTCAGAGAGAGAACTTTAAGGGTATGAAATAAATCTAGAAACAGCAGAAAGGAAAAGAAAATGAAGCCTGAAAAACTCTTTAAAATCCTTAAGATTTATATTTATTTTTCCCAGGCCAAGTCAGACAAAACTGATTCTTTAATGAGAGCCCTTAGTTTAGTTCAGCACCTTCAGAAACAGGGTGATCAGATGAAAGAGGACTAAAATCTTGTTTTGAACTGACGAGAAAGGCTTAGTACAGAAGTTTACATTCAAAGTAATCCATCTTGCCAAGTTAAAAGAAAAGAGAGGAAAAAAAAAACTAAACACCGAAATTATTTGTTCTTTACTAGGCCAGAGAATTTCTCTGTGCTAATTACTGTCCAGTTAGGGATGTCAGATCTGTTTTGTATGCTGCTTGTTACTGTAGTAACCATTTTTGCAGGAGGCCTTCAAGAACAAGCTTTTAAAAAAATCTCTAAAATCAGATTAAGAGAAAAAGATGTATTTTGCAGAGCCAGGCACTTCAAAAAAAAAAAGAGCCACCCGTCAGAAGTCAAGACGTAAACATATTCAGCCTCCTCCTAACTTAAAATGCAGAACCCACTGCATGGGAACCAAACGTTTCAGCTCGCGGCCTCCAGAATGTTTCCCCTGCGTTCATACGGCTTGAAAAGACCAACGCCATCCCTACGAAAGCAGAGCCTGGCTCCCACTGCGTTAAGGTTTTAAAACAAGAAAATGCCGAGATGCGTTTCTGGTTTCAAAGGCTAAATTTAACCAGGATCCCAGAAAGTGATTTAAAGGGATTCTTCAGGTACCTTAGGCCCCAAATTTAAGTTTAATAAAAGCAAGAGTCCTTTCCACATTAAGGGAGGCAGGGGGACTGGGGATGGAGGGTCCTGTTAATAAATATCCCCCTTTGCCGCCACAGTATCTGCATTCCAAATACTGCTCTGGAAAAGCATCAGGAAATAAACTCTTTTTTTTTGTTTTTTGTTTTTTTTGTGTTTTTTTTTTGTTTGTTTGTTTTTTTAAAGAAAAGGACAATGAACAGAAGTGAAACCGGACAAGGGAATTTTTTTTTCATACTTTGTGAAGTGTCACAAGCAGACAGGCAGCCCAGCAAGACCTGCATTTGTAAAGCTGTCTCAATGCTAATTCTCAACGGTGTCATGCATAACTCAAACAAGGAAATGGTTGAAGAACTAGGTTATTTAACCCGATGGCAAACCAGTAAGCAGTTCTCCAACCTTCCTTCACTAGGTTCCTTTAAAAAAAAAACAAAAAAAACCCCCAAAAACCCAAAAAGTTATTTATTAATGAATCCAGCTTGTCAAACAACAGATCTGACATTTAAAGATGCACCCAATCCCCTAAAACGGGGGTGCTCAAACTCAGGCCCACAGGCCAGATGCAGCCCATTGCACCATGTCATCTAGCCCATGGGGCTCCCTAAGCGTCTGGAAATTTGACAGCAGGAGAGAAATGGAGTCACTCCTGGGCTGCCTAATCTCTGGACCCAGGGTGAGTCCCAGGCCCTGCGTGGGACTGCATACAGGGCTGGACCCCAGGGTCCAATCCTGGAGTGCAGGGGCTGGTGCCCGACCCCCAGGACCCAATCCTGACATGGGGGAGCAGAAGGCGGCGGTGTCAGCATCTCAGACCCCAATCCTGGAGCTCAGGGGCTCGGAGAAGGCAATGCCAGGCCCACCTAACTCAATCCCAGTGTGCAGGGTGTGGTTCCAGCACCCCAGGACCCAATCCCAGTGCATGGGGGTGGGCAGCACTGGGCTCCAGAGTTCAATCTGGCCTGCAGACAGCTCCAGGCTATTCATCTGGCCTGCAGGGCCAAAAGGGTGTGCGCTCCACTGCCCTAAAATACACATAATGACAAATATCTACCTTTCATCAACACTGCTTGTTATAACTCAGTCAGGAAGTAGTTGCAACGAAGTAGTAATGTCTAGTAGTACTATAATGGTACTTAGGGCTAAATTAAATTTATTCAAGAACCTCAGGCTTGAGGATAAGACGAAGACTGACAGCCCTGCTAAGATGTTGCTTCGTTCCTTGACTCCATTCCAAGCCAAAGATTATGTCCCTGCTTATCAAGCAAAGATTAAGGGCTGAGCAGCAGCACCACTCCAGCTGGGCTACATCATAACACATACCCTGCGATGTGCTTTTGCTTTCTACTAATCAGCCAGCAATGCAAATCTGCTCCAAAACCCCTCTCTCTTGCATGCCATTACACCAACCAGCACCAGCTGTATACTGTAAACCTATCAACATGTGCAGTGCATATTGTTAGAGGGAATGTCACAGAGTTGATCACAGCAGGTCTGCTAGATAATAATGAGACAGCCAACAGCCCTGAGGGAGAAATAGCCAGTGCAAAAGGTATTCTGTAAGGAGCTATGCCACTTTCTGTGATCAGCATCATCCCTTTAAAAGAAACTACTGCCCTATGAAGAAATAATATGATGGCCCAGCAGTCTTCCCTTAAAAGAAGAGCCAGTAAGACTATTGGCAGCCCAAGAAGGTGAACTTAAATGTGGAGGGAGAGACAGACTACATGGTTCAGACATTAACTGACCCCCAAATTTGCATCAGCTTCCTACATTCAAACATGACAAGTGCATCAGAAATGCTGTGCAAGATGCCTTTCAGCACTGTTATTACAGGATTACATGAAATGAAGGATCTGGGCTGATCACAAAGAACCAATTTGCTCTCTATTGAGACAGCAACTTTACCCCTGGTTTTGACTCCCTTGACTTAAGATAGCAGCAGGAAGGCAGTTTTTATTGCACCATGCTGGCAGGAATGTCCATACTACTAATATGCAAGGAAGGTGAGATCCAGGAAGACCTATTAGTGGAGGAAGGAAGTCTACAATGGTGAGCAGTGCCAGCAGGTTTCACAAACTACCTTCATAAAATAAAACTGGGAATTTTTCCCCCTTTCAAATGATTTTGAGGACATATGGACAGTTTATCATGGATACTTGAGAACTACAGGTGGCCATTCATTATGTTAGCACCTGTAGGCAAATATTCAGCATAAGGTACTTGCTAGATATATGAGGACCATACAAACCAAAACAACGAACCATGCTTGGCTGAGGCCACCCCTTGTGTGTGGGAGGTCTGCTAGTCATGTGTTAATGATTATTAAATGTCTTAGACTGAGAAAGGTACAATACCTATCTACACATCCATACTGCATTCATTCTCAGTGCTGTCTCAGGGTCTAGACAAGTGATTCTCTACTAGGGTCACATGAGATCCTTTTAGGGGTGCCATGAAATATGAGCACTCTTAGGTGTGCAACACCTACACAATTCATAGATTTCATAGACATTCGGGCTGGAGGGGACCCCGGAAGATAATTGAGTCCAGCCCCCTGCCCCAGGGGCAGGAAGTCAGCAGGGATCACAGGATCCCCGCAAGATAAACATCCAAATATCTCGAGGGTGTTCAAAGTAGGCGCTTGAACCACCTCCAGCAGCAGTCTATTCCAGACCTTGGGGGCTCGGACAGTAAAGAAGTTCTTCCTTATGTCCAGCCTGAAACGGTCATGGAGGAATTTGTGACCGTTCGGCATCATCATCCCTTGGGGCGCTCTGGTGAACAGGCGTTCCCCCAGATTCCAGTGAGCACCCCTGATAATCTTATAGGTGGCCACCAGATCACCCCTGAGCCTGCGCTTTTCCAGGCTGAAGAGCCCCATGATAATTCCCCTGAAAATTCACACGATAAATGCAGAGATTTCAATAGGAATCTATAACATCTAATTAATATTGTGGTTATTCATGCATATATTCCTTAGTTTGTCTTTAAAATGGTGTCCAGTGATACTATTTTTATGCATGTTAATTTGTACCGTACCCCCGGTCTAGAGTACCACCAGCAGGCTTTTACTGAAATCGTAACAACACGTCCTACTCTGCACAGGTACCTTTATCCACACACCTTGCCTGCTTTTTGCCAATTTATATGCACAACCTAGTTATGTCTGTACACTGCTCTAGAAACCACGTGCCCTCATTTCCTTCTACTACTTTAAGGAGCAGGGTTGACTACAGATTAACTGTTACTACTATCATGCGTCTTTGAACATGCGATTATTAACAGCTATTATGCCAGGGATAGGGATTACTGTGAAAATGTTCTGTGTATATGAAATGAGTGGTATGCTATGTATTGCTTTTATTAGCACTGCTGTTCAGAGAGATACTTCCGCAACAGATGTTTCTCTTCCAACCCGTGAGATACCAGTACTTCCCATGTCCACTCAAAGTCCTCCTACCCTGCACAACCCTAGAAAATTCGGACTCCCTTTGATCTCCAAGTCCTCTATAAATCTACCCCTTTCCCTGATCTCCAGATTCCTCCCCTATACTTCTTGACCCTTCTTGTCTTCCTCTGGCTCCCTCTACCACAACCCTTCCATGCTATCTTCCCTGCTAGATCATAGAAAGAAAACCTGAGAAGCACAGTGCTCCCAAGAAGATACAAAGCAGAGATGATGCTATGGGCATTACTGGGAGAATCCACTCACCAAGCTGCACTCCAACCATGATTTCTAAGGGAAGAGTCCTGGACTGCCTTAGACATCACAGTTCACACTCAGCAACTCCACAGCAACACCTTCAAACCTGACTGCTGAGGGCAGTGAGGAGGCAGTGGCATTCCCTAAACCAGTGTTTCTCAACCAGTGGGACATGTCCCACTGGTGGGACGCAAAGGTCATGTAGGTGGGTCTTTTAACATCCTTAAAAATTTCCATTAATGATTAATATAATACTAAAATGCATGAAAATGTAAAAATACACTTCTTGAAAAAGTGGGGTTTTGTTTTTATCATGGTGGGACCAGGGGGTTTTGACAAAATGGTTGGTGGGATGCAAGGTGCAAAAGATTGAGAATCGCTGCCCTAACCAGCAGGTTATTTAGAGCTTGCATCCCAAGAACTGCATATGCCCGGGTAACTGGCAGATCTTGAATACATTAGTTTGCATCAGAACATGCCAAACAGGCTTGTGCACATTGTTCAAGTAACTTTGAAGCCAGCCATTTAATAGGAACCAAATTAATTCTGGCTTAAATTCTGATGGAATCAAACAGCACAGACCGTGCTTTTCAAGTACCTTGTCATTAACAAATATAAAAACAACCTGTTATCATCTTGTCAACGCACAAGTACCAACAGGAACAGACCAGCAACTCATCCTTACCTCTCCCACGGCCGCGCTTGCCACGGTCCGAAGGCCTGTCTCCTTGACTGTTGTCCACTCCATTCTCTTCTGCTCTAACTGGGGACAAAAAACCAGAACACTGTCAAGGAATGGCATTTTATCTGAATATCTGTAAAGATTAAGAACATAAGGATTTTCATAGATCCATCTAACCCAGTATCCTGTCTCTCACAGTGACAGTGTAAAATGCCAAGGAGGGGACTGAGAAAGCTTTGTGGAGAATCTTCCACCTCTGTTTCTCCCCCATTGCAACTTTAAGTAATCAGAGATTTGGAAAGTTCAGATTTTGCATCTGCACACCTGTCTCCCATATTCAATACCTACTGATGGATCTTTCCTTCAAGAATCTGTCCAATCCCCTTTTTGAATTGGGTTAACCGATCAGCCTCTACAATATCTTGCAGCAACGAGTTCCAC